TGGGAATACATAAATAATCAACAGGAATGGAAAAAGAACAAAATAAGCTATTATCTTGATTCGGGTTTAAAGGCCGTCGTCGATTAGAATTACTTCCTAACGTTTCGCTAGCACGAGTGGCGAGCTTCTTCAGAGGTCCTTCCATCTCCGATGTTGGGCGTAGACTGACGATTTCTCCTGCGCAGGTTGTATTTATGCCGATTGGTGTTGGGCGGGGCCTGTTCCGCTTCGGTTGGTCTCGGGATATCGATCGGTACTGCTCGGGCGTTCCTAAGGATCGGGTTCCACATTTGGTTGAGTCTAAGGGTCTCCTCCTTTCGGTTGAAATTCTGTGGGTGTTTTTGTATCTCAATGGCTTCCCTGACTAGTCTGTTGTGATAGCCGTTGACCGATGCTAGTAACTTACAGCTCTCAAAGTGTATCCTGTGTTCCCCGCTGCCCAGTGCGTGTTCAGCTACTGCAGACTTCTCTGTATGTCCTAGCCTGCAGCTTGGGAACGAGACTTAAGGAGCATAAAGCAAGCTGCAGGTTAGGACATACAGAGAAGTCTGCAGTAGCTGAACACGCACTGGGCAGCGGGGAACACAGGATACACTTTGAGAGCTGTAAGTTACTAGCATCGGTCAACGGCTATCACAACAGACTAGTCAGGGAAGCCATTGAGATACAAAAACACCCACACAATTTCAACCGAAAGGAGGAGACCCTTAGACTCAACCAAATGTGGAACCCGATCCTTAGGAACGCCCGAGCAGTACCGATCGATATCCCGAGACCAACCGAAGCGGAACAGGCCCCGCCAACCACCAATCGGCATAAATACAACCTGCGCAGCAGAACTCGTCAGTCCATGTCCAACATCGGAGATGGAAGGACCTCTGAAGAAGCTCGCCACTCGTGCTAGCGAAACGTTAGGAAGTAATTCCAATCGACGACGGCCTTTAAACCCGAAAATAGACGAAAATAGAACAACGATACTAGGGGAAAGAACAACAGAAATGCAAACCGAAAATGATACAAGTATAGAAGTAAAACAAAATATGCCCTTTATTTTAGCCTTTTTTCATCACAGATACCAGCAAATTTACATGAGAAAACGAAGAACTGTATAAAAAATCTAAGTACGCCACTGCATTTGCCTTAAAAAATGCCTTAATAATGTTTTTATCCGAATCGAAAATTGGCGAATATTGGAAAACTCTTATATCTCGGTTGGTAGTGAAGATATCGCTATGCGGTTTTAAACATTAAATATTTCTTGAAAATCCAACCCTTGACATGTAAGTCGATTATGCCTTATCTAGTTCAGAAATAGACTTTTCCTGTCAAAACACTCCAATTACGACCACCCTGCACAAATTAAATGTATCTTTATTACTTTTTTACAAGACATTCGAAGGACACCACCCGTAGCTGACATTTGCATGTTTTAAAATTCTTCGATTTTCTAAAATTTACTACTATCACTTATTCTTCCGCTAATAATTAGGTTCAATCAAGTAGTCAATTATTGAAGACAAACCAACTTTATTAATTATTGTAATATTAGCAATAAAAACAAAATTTGTTTTCATGGCAATCTTGATAGTTTAAAATGAATTATTGCTGTCAAACATGATGTTTTATCCATTTCTTAAATGGTTTTTCACATTTTACTATAAAATCGAATCGTTGCATGTATTCTTTTTTAAAAAAATTATTTTTTGAGCAATATCAATAATGGCATTGCATCAGAAGTGGCGACTGAAGCTCTCCTATAAAATACCATCATCACACTTACATATAAATATTTTATTTTATGTGAGACTCTGCTGAGTGCTTCCCTATCACGCTTTTAATTATATTATATTATATATATTATTTAAACATTAAATATTTCTTGAAAATCCAACCCTTGACATGTATGTCGATTATGCCTTATCTAGACATTCGAAGGACACCACCCGTAGCTGACATTTGCATGTTTTAAAATTCTTCGATTTTCTAAAATTTACTACTATCACTTATTCTTCCGCTAATAATTAGGTTCAATCAAGTAGTCAATTACTGAAGACAAACCAACTTTATTAATTATTGTAATATTAGCAATAAAAACAAAATTTGTTTTCATGGCAATCTTGATAGTTTAAAATGAATTATTGCTGTCAAACATGATGTTTTATCCATTTCTTAAATGGTTTTTCACATTTTACTATAAAATCGAATCGTTGCATGTATTCTTTTTTAAAAAAATTATTTTTTGAGCAATATCAATAATGGCATTGCATCAGAAGTGGCGACTGAAGCTCTCCTATAAAATACCATCATCACACTTACATATAAATATTTTATTTTATGTGAGACTCTGCTGAGTGCTTCCCTATCACGCTTTTAATTATATTATATTATATATATTATTTAAACATTAAATATTTCTTGAAAATCCAACCCTTGACATGTATGTCGATTATGCCTTATCTAGTTCAGAAATAGACTTTTCCTGTCAAAACACTCCAATTACGACCACCCTGCACAAATTAAATGTATCTTTATTACTTTTTTACAAGATATTCGAAGGACACCACCCGTAGCTGACATTTGCATGTTTTAAAATTCTTCTATTTTCTAAAATTTACTACTATCACTTATTCTTCCGCTAATAATTAGGTTCAATCAAGTAGTCAATTATTGAAGACAAACCAACTTTATTAATTATTGTAATATTAGCAATAAAAACAAAATTTGTTTTCATGGCAATCTTGATAGTGTAAAATGAATTATTGCTGTCAAACATGATGTTTTATCCATGGTTTTTCACATTTTACTATAAAATCGTATCGTTGCATGTATTCTTTTTTAAAAAAAATATTTTTTGAGCAATATCAATAATGGCATTGCATCAGAAGTGGCGACTGAAGCTCTCCTATAAAATACCATCATCACACTTACATATAAATATTTTATTTTATGTGAGACTCTGCTGAGTGCTTCCCTATCACGCTTTTAATTATATCAGTTTCGTGAATATTTACGCCTGTTAAATAGATGGAATTTGTGGATGTCGTCTGACTAAATTTTACGTTTTTTTAATCATTTTCAAGCTATTTCAGTGAGAGAATCTATAATATATATGTCGGAGATCGTACGAAATAATCGAAATAATAATAATAATAATGATAAAATAGAAATAGAAATCCGGAGTGGCGGATGCTGATGGCGAGCGAGGCGACATAGGGTTAGAGTTGTCGGACATATTAAAAGGTTGCACATAACACATTGCTTACAACAAACGAATAATCTAATCACTTGATTGATTATTAAAGGGAATCCAACGATCCGCGGCCCGCTAGGGAAACTAGGGAAAATCTTCAACCGTTCATCGGATATCGGAGCTACACTCGACTCGACTTATCACGGGTTTCGATAATTCCAGACTGTCCTCCCCGGGCCGCGGTCCGTTCACCTAGGAAAGATACCTAAGTGGGTTCCCATGGGTCTATAATAATCATAATGACAGAATTATAACTGTTTAGTCTAGATGGATAAATAATGCGAATCAAAAATAAACAATCTAAACATCCAAAACGAAATATGCGAAAATATCGACCACTTAAAGCTAAGGGCGCCGACATATATATTGTTAAGTTCATCTTTCAAAAATGTTGGATAGCTTGGATATGATTTATTAACACTCTGAACTGAATCAAACCGTTGTTGGTTGGTGCGTTTAAGAGTTGGTTTATATTTTCTTTATACTGTTGTAAAAAAATACCGTTTTGAACTATTTCTTTTTTCAACATTTTCTATTTTTCAAATATTTTTGAACAGTGGAAATGAAATAGCTTTGTCTTTAATAATATCAAACTCCTGCATAAAAAGATTGTATAAATTGTATATTTATTAAATAAACAACCGCCTAGAGCAAAACATATTTGATTCTTTTTTAAAGTTTCTGTCCTCAGTAATGGAAACCCTATTATTAGAATAATCATAATCGACTTTATTCATAATAATCAAGGTATAAATGTACGGAAAATATAAATACATACAGCGCGAGGTCTAGCTGAAGGCTATTCAATCTTAACACTGGTCAACCAAACATCTAACCAAAGTAAACTAACCAATGTGAACCAAACATCATCCTACCACACAAAAAACTAGTTTATGTAGGTCGCTTGTACATACCTATGCCCCGATAAAGATAAATTATGTGCCAAAAAGAAAGTAGACATATAATTATTTATTGTTCCCAGGCAATTTCAAAAAATTTATGTCTCTTAAGCCATAAGACACTACCTGCTTTTCAAATAAATTAATTTTGGAAACGGCTAAAAATTTTATTTATTTCTGGTCTTTCTCTTATCTTCTAAAGAAAGAAAACAGCTTCGATGAAACATATCCAAACACTTAAGTTCGTTAATTTTGTGTGTTATATGATCCGATTTTTTTGATTAATTATCAAACGGCAGCAACAATTCTGCATCTTTTGAATGCGATATTGCTCCGATTGCTGAAGGGATCGTAGATGATGCTTACAAACTTAAACTGAAAAATGGTAACTTTCATTTTGTTACTGACAAAATAAAGCGGCTAGATGAGTATACGAACTTTGAATAAGAATATTAAGTTCTGTCTCACTGAATGTTAAATTGTAGCCGCAAAAATTAATTTGAAGGTCAAAATTAAGATTAAAAATAATAATAAATAATAGACCTTGTAACCTGTGAAAAATCTTAATTGGGTTTAGCGTTTCGACAAAATTAAACTTTACTGAATGAAACCATTGGGTTCCAAATAAAAATGCAACGAACCTTTTCGAGACACCATAGCAATTAGTGCTAGCAGTAGAACTTGTTATTTTAATCAAATGATTAGATTATTTGAAAGTATAGGAGTCAAGTTCCGTAACTAGGCAAATTATTAAGTTATAGCTTTAGTTTTGGTTAATCATGTTCTTCTACCAGGATTAGATTAAAATTGTTTTTTTTATTGTATTTTGGCAAGTGAATGCAAAAACTTACTTGTACGACATGGAGAATATTCCTCAAATTTTTCGAAGAACTCATCTGCCACGAAACACGTTCCTACTGGATCTCTTCGATTCATTTCTTTACTGTACCAAACATATCTGGGAGCGCAAGCCTGGAAGAAAAGAAAATTTGATAATTTGGGAAGCAGAAAAAATTGAGTCTCAAGTCGTTTTTCTTCCCACCAATATCAAAGATACGTGGAAAAAAGGAAATCGCTTGATTCGTTTTTTACTAGTGGGATTTCAGGTAACTGCAACATTTGGTGCTGAGTCTCAAGTCGTTTTTCTCACTAGTATCAAAGATACCAGGAAAAAGGGAAATCGATGAATTCTTTTTATTTTGTAACTCCTGCATCCTGTATATATATATATATATATATATATATATATATATATATATATATATATATATATATATATATATATATATATATATATATATATATATATACACAAAACGGTAGTCGTGACCGGCTAGTTGAACAACAAATTTTAGTTAATTGGGGTATCGGTCCTGATGGCCTCAGTGTGATCTACTCTAATGTCTTAACTTTACAACCAACCGTCAATCGAATTGCGTTTGCTGATAATATGTCGTCACAATGTAATTATAATTTAGAAAAATAGTCCCAAGCCTCTATACATTAGGGCCTTGTAAGCAAAAAGGAGGTAACAAAAAGGGGGGAAAAAAAAGAAAGGAAAAAAAACTGGACGGCTGGCGGTGGTCATACTAATAAAACCTTTCCATCATTTGCGTTTTGCGGATGAAGTAAAATTCGTTTAAATAAAATGTAATAACAATTTCGTCTAGATGGCTGCCCTCGGTTATAATAATTAACGGTCGTATTTGATTCTTTCTGTTATCCGGATGAGTTTGGTGTTGGCCTATAATGGCACTGTAGCAGTAAGTACTTTAACTATAAGACTTTAGTATTAAATAACTAAGAGCCGCTTTCATATTGTAGCCCCTGAAGAAGAAAATAAACATTTTCGAAAGCTTGGTGTAGCACAAAAGCCTTTTATTTGAGCCCTCATCAGGACCGATACCCCAATTAACTAAAATTTGTTGTTCAACTAGCCGGTCACGACTACCGTTTTGTGTATTTTACAGGAATGGGGTTTTTCCAATCAATAAAAGCTCGATATGGAAACGAAGCAGTTTCACTGCTCAAACAATGGGCCAGGCTCGGCAGCAAACTATCATCATTTGGAAACAGGAAGATATTCTTACTCAAATGCAGACAGACAGGGATCATACCAAGACACATTACAGACGGGACCAGAAACTTGGGCATGCTTTTGGATTTGACCGATGGACATATGGGGGACCGCATTCGGGATTTCAATACCAGGTTGAATAACAAATTAATTAATTTAGAAATATCACTCACTATTTCAACTATCAATCGTATAGAAAAATCACTGAAACAAGTAAGAGAGAAAGTTTTGACATTGATTCCGGGTGATGTTGTTGACGAATTTGGTAAAAGACAACAAGGGTCATGTGATAAAAAATTCAAAACCATCAAAAAAAAGAACATAAACAAATTTCAAAACTTGAAGTCGCAACAGCATCACTTAACAATCAAAACACAAGATAATTGGGTTAAGAATATTTCAGAGGTTGAGGTCCCGGATGATGTCTTGAGGTTTCTCTCTTTAGGTTCGAAATTTTCCGTGCCACCAAGATGCAATGAAATCTCAGTCAAACGTTTAATTGCTGATGTAGAAACTATAATTAAAGTTGTACCAGAGAACGCAAAAAATACTGTAAGAGCTAAGTTTACTAATGTATTGACTAATTTTTTAAAACAACCGGCAAAGCGTAGCTATATAGACATTTTGTTAAAAAAGACAAAAAAATTTTTTAAGGATCACGCTGAGTTGGTCGTTTCTAGGGCCGATAAAGGGAATGTGACAGTTATTATGTCTAAAGATACATACATTCAAAAATCAAACGAAATTCTGATGGATCGGACCTATTACGAGCGTCTCAGATGCGATCCTACATCTACTTACCAACAAAAAGCTAACAAACTTGTCAAATCATTAAAAGATCAAAAACAATTAACAAATGAGGTAGCCAAAACTTTAAATATATATAATCAAACTTGTCCTAAATTTTATGGCTTACCCAAAATACATAAACCCCAATTGTCCTTAAGACCGATAATTTCATCAATTAATGCTCCGAACAGTAAACTGGCTTCATTGTTGACTCAGGTTTTAACCAAAGCATATAATAAGAATAATGATTATTTCACAGGTGATTCATTTGAGTTTTCTTCATTTATCAATGACAAACAATTACCTAATAAGTATGTTCTTGTGAGCTTGGATGTCGTCTCTTTATTTAGTAATATTCCATATAATTTGGTAGAAAAAAGTATAAAAAAACATTGGAACAGAATTAGAAACCACACTGATTTGTCACAAATTAGTTTCCTGAAGATACTTCAGTTTGTCTTTGATACAACGTATTTTACATTTAACAATGAATTTTACAAACAAAAATTAGGTACACCGATGGGTGCCATCATTTCTCCAATATTAGCTCAATACGTTATGGATGACCTACTTGAGGTGTGCGTAGATAAGCTGTCGTTTCAGTTACCATTTCTGAAAAAATATGTGGATGATATAATTACTTCCATACCTGAAAGTTGCGTGAGGGAAACGCTCACAGTGTTTAACAGCTATGATGCACACATACAATTTACAGTAGAGGAGGAAATTGATAAAAGCGTACCATTTCTGGACACTAAAGTGATCCGGAACAACGATAACAAAATTATATTAGATTGGTACATAAAACCGACCAGTTAGGGGAGATATATGAATTTCCACTCTTACCATACAACGAAAACAAAAATAAATTTGGTCATAGCATTAAAGACACGAATCGAGAGGATTTCTCACCCATCACTAAGACAAAAGAATCTTAATAAGCTTTACGACATGCTGATTAACAACTCATACCCAAGTAGGTTAACTAAAAAATTGTTATATAGCACGACCCCACTAAGAGCTCCAAACCCGCGGAACACGGTCGTCCACTTAGATAGCCCAGGAATGGACGATCAGAGATGTTTTTATTTTTCATTGCCATACATTAAAGAATTAACGACCACACAAATTCTGAGAGCACAAACAAATATTAAGATAGCATATAAACAAACAAAAACATTGGGGAGTGTCTTTAGCAAACTAAAAGATAAGGATGAGGTACAAAAGAATTCAGAAGTAATTTATAGCATCCCCTGTAATCAGTGTGATCAGGTATACATAGGACAGACATCGCGAGTACTTAAAGATAGAATTACGTCACACAAGAGTGATTGCAGACTCAATAAGAACACCTGTTCATTAGCAACACACTCTAACCAAATGGATCACGATGTTAACTTTGTTGAAACAAAAATTCTCCATAAAGAAAGCAACTACAACAAAAGAGCAACTTTGGAAATGGTGGAGATTTTCTTGGAACCGAAATCGGTCAATAAAAGATCTGACATTGATGGCCTCAGTGTGATCTACTCTAATGTCTTAACTTTACAACCAACCGTCAATCGAATTGCGTTTGCTGATAATAGTGTCGTCACAATGTAATTATAATTTAGAAAAATAGTCCCAAGCCTCTATACATTAGGGCCTTGTAAGCAAAAAGGAGGTAACAAAAAGGGGGGAAAAAAAAGAAAGGAAAAAAAACTGGACGGCTGGCGGTGGTCATACTAATAAAACCTTTCCATCATTTGCGTTTTGCGGATGAAGTAAAATTCGTTTAAATAAAATGTAATAACAATTTCGTCTAGATGGCTGCCCTCGGTTATAATAATTAACGGTCGTATTTGATTCTTTCTGTTATCCGGATGAGTTTGGTGTTGGCCTATAATGGCACTGTAGCAGTAAGTACTTTAACTATAAGACTTTAGTATTAAATAACTAAGAGCCGCTTTCATATTGTAGCCCCTGAAGAAGAAAATAAACATTTTCGAAAGCTTGGTGTAGCACAAAAGCCTTTTATTTGAGCCCTCATCAGGACCGATACCCCAATTAACTAAAATTTGTTTATATATATATATATATATATATATATATATATATATATATATATATATATATATATATATATATATATATATATATATATATATATATATATATATATATATATATATATATATATATATATATATATATATATATATATATATAGTGTTTTCGGAGCGCGAGCATTGAAGATGCCAAGTGAGATTTTGGCGAAACGTCTGCAGGATTCCAGTCGGATGCAGGATTTGCAGGATTCCAGTCGGAGTTCAACGAGCGAACGGATGATATCCCGGAGTATAGTGTCATCATATATATATATATATATATATATATATATATATATATATATATATATATATATATATATATATATATATATATATATCCCACTATCTTCCAAGCGTCCGTACATTAACAATTTGCTATTTTCCGAGCGTCCGTCTACAACCGGGCGTCCATATATGGACGCCCGGATGCAGCGCTATAGAAACGGTATATAGAAGATCTAAGTAGTCTAAATTAAAATATTCACAAAGACGCTACGATCATAGTAAACTGATTTTTCTTGTATATTGTTAGTTCAGCTGTATGCCCGGTAGAGGCGCGAGACCCAGTCTCTGTATATTTTACAAGATATATTTTACTTTCAGCTCGTCGATTTCCAGGCGTCCTCTGCGCCTTTGTTACGTGGCAACACTGTCACTATTAACTTTTGCAGACTGGCGCGAAATTGTGGGGTAACGGCTCTGTTTCGCCTAGTTGTTTTGTTTTTCATATTGAATGACTCGATTGGCGCTCCGTAGTTCGAGCATGTAGAGACGGTGGAAATAAAGAATTTTATTTTTTTACCACGAATTCGGAAGTAGGCTAAGTTGGAATTAACGTAAACGTAACACAAATACACAAGACTTTTTTTTTTCTATTAAAAAATTAAATAATTAATAAAAGTTTATTTTCGAAACGTGTAATTTACAAAAATCATATTTATATCCTGTTGCCAATGCCGTACGCTTTATATGATATTAGAATTTAAAACAACATTCTGTGACACGTCGCCAAACTC